ATTTATTCTTTTTTTTCTATTTATAGATTCTTTTGTTGTTGTTTGGCTCGAGTCATTGTTTTATAGGTCGATGACCTTTGATGACTCTCACTTTTCGTGAATAAAATTCATTCATTCATTCATTCATTCATTGGTGCAGTCGCATGTGACAAATCACCTCTCTGATGGTGTAGTTCCATGACCCACGTAGATGGATGATGACACACATAAATGGGTGAAAATGTCATCTGTAGGGCAGACAACTCTTTTGTATGCTCTTCACTGTAAAATCGGTCATCCACTAAAGTACTTTAAAGTCACCCACCTACGTGGATAATTAAATGTCCCAGATGGATGGATGGCCTCTGTTCACGAATACGGATTGCGTCAGCAAAAATGAAATTTGTGAATTCTGTTTATGTTACATTTAGTTACTCTAACTATCATATCAAATTTTACAAAAACCAGAAGAATCGTTTTACTTTTTATTTTTAAGATGGCAACCATTATTGAACGTAATGTTGCTGACTCAATCGATGATTTAGTTAAAGAAGCTGAAATGTTGAAAACACGTTTGGAAGAAGAACGTGCCAAATTTAATGATATGGAATGTACGTGTACTTCTCAATTTCTATTTTAAACTAACTTTCCCAATCAATTTCGCCTATTATAAGATTATAAGTTTGAAATTTATAATGAGACTCGACACGAAGTTAATAGATGGGCTTACTTATAATTTCATGAACTATTATCCATTGTGATCAAATTAAATAACACTAAATATGAATTTGTTATAGCAATTTCTTCTTCTTAATAGTAACAACGGTCGCTGAAAAACTTGATGCCTTACCACCTTTCAGTACTAAGTCAAGACGATTATTAAAAGGCCATCAAGGAAAAGTTTTGGCATTGGATTGGTCTGTCGATAAACGACATATGGTTAGCACATCTCAGGTACATAGAATTTTACTGAATAATTTAATATTTTACTGAATTCAAACATGATTATTTATTCATTACAGGATGGAAAACTAATTGTTTGGGATGCTTTCACAACAAATAAAGTATGTTTAAATAGGAATAACATCAATTAAAAACTTGCCTTTTGTCTATTGTCTAGGAAAATGTTATTACAATGCCGACAACATGGGTGATGACTTGTGCTTATTCTCCCTCTGGAACAACAGTTGCATGTGGGTAAGTAATCATTCTTACATTAGATGTTGAACATTGAGCCAAAACATTTCTGTTTAGAAAGCAAATTTGAAGTCTAGGTAAATCTTTCTAACTGCTCATAAACTACAACTACTAACATTAGTGCTCTCAGCTCATTTTGCACGTTTATATCTTCTTTTTTTCTGCCTTTTTGTAATTTGCTATTATCAATTATTCTCGCTTTTCTCTCTTTAGAGGTTTAGACAACAAAGTGACACTTTATCCACTTAACTTAGATGAAGATGTTAATAAACACAAAAAAGTCGTTTCTAATCATTTAAATTATATATCGTCGTGTAAATTTATGCATTCTGATCAACAAGTGCGTATGAATTCGAATTTCTTTCTATGTCTGTTGATGTTATTAATGTTTTTTCAGCTGTTAACGGCAAGTGGTGATAGTACCGCAAAGTTATGGGATGTTGAAAGTAGTACGGCTATACAAACATTTCAAGGTCATCAGGCGGATATAATGGGCATCGACGTGTCACCAAGTGAAAGTGGAAATATATTTGTATCTGGCGTAAGTATGAGCAAAGATAATAGATTCTTGACTTATCCAGAAGAGATATAAGTAATATGTATGAAGTGGATACAAGCATCACATGTGGCATAGAATAACAGATTAGAACTCTTCCGTATTTACTTTTGAATAATTTAGTTCACAATAAATAAGTGTGGCTGATGAATATAGATGCATGGTTCCTATTTCATCATTTGTGTAAATTCGTTTTATATTCTATTTCCGATCTGTTCTTCTCTTTTCTGTGTGTAAAGCAATGTGTTATTTCGAAGCGATGAGAAAAACTGTTTTATTTACCATAGAGTTCCGACCACATGGCAATGGTTTGGGATATCCGTACTGGTCAATATGTACAAACATTTGAAGGCCATGAATCTGATGTGAATTGCGTTCGATTTTATCCAAGCGGTGATGCGTTTGTTACTGGCTCCGATGATGCAACGGTTGGATATTTTATGACTATTTCAAAATCAAAACTTGCAACTTTTTTTATTCTTTATAGTGTCGTTTATTTGATTTACGTGCTGATCGTCAAGTAGCTATTTTCAAGAAAGAATCAGTTATATTTGCCTGTAATGCCGTGGATTTTTCATTGAGTGGTAAGAATAACACTAAAATAATAGACAATGATAGAGAATGTACTTATTCTTTTGCTTTAGGACGTCTATTATTTGGTGGTTATAGTGATTATTGCATTGATGTTTGGGATACATTAAAAGGTTCCCGTGTTGCAATATTGTATGGTCACGAAAATCGTGTTAGTTGTTTGCAAATCTCACCAGATGGTACAGCATTGGGAACAGGAAGCTGGGATTGTACTCTCAGGGTAAATGTAATTATCTTTTAACAACGTAGAATAATCTTAATATCTTTTTTTCTAGATATGGGCATAATACATCACTCAAATATTTCGTACTCAATGTTATGAAATGAATTGGCTCTATTTTTTGTAATTTTTTTTTCATAAACTATATTTATCTTTTAACCTCAGATGAAAAAAAGAATCTAGTCATTTTTATTTTCAATTTATTTGTTGTTGTGTAACCCTTGTGTTTTTTCATAACCTTATGTACATTAATTAATTGTCTTCATAAATAAATTTACAAAATGTAATAAATATTCATTTGTTAAATTTAGTCAATTTGATCAGACTTTCAAAGATATTGAGAGGTTATAGAGCAATCGTTCAATAGAGTCGGTGAGTTGTTGAAGAAAGGGTCGCTAATTAATGTGAAATTTCGTCGCTTCTATTGATATCATCTGAATGATGTACGTGTAGGATTATCAAGGGGAGAAAAGCGGACTCCTATGGATTCCTATCTCGAAGTCTCTATTATCTGTTTCAAAATATAATGCATTCCGATGTTTTCTGAAGAACTTTTGAACGGTGATAGCTAGAGACTTGCGGTATTCAGTTTCTTAAAGCAGACATCGGAGGACATCGATCTATGAGGGAATTAAGTTTACTATGGTACACCTTTCAAATAAAAAAACTTGAGTTTGCCATTCTAAAAATATCTAGAAACAAAAAAACTCGTGGCAATATTGATTTTTCGAAAACAATTCAGTGTCTTAGTGAAAACCTATACTAGACGAAATAACCCATTGTTGCCTGTTTTCACGTAAAATCAGAAACTTCATAACTCAATCAAAATCGATCCGAACTATGTCAGAATATCAAGGTATACTCTATTTTATCTACTCTATATCATGCGATCCAATACTACTTTTAAAAACCAATAGTAGCTCCTTTTCTAGAAGGGTTTCTAGAGGTTTTATAAATATTTACACAAACAGTCAGCAATCTCGCTGTTAACAGACAAAAATCATCGCATATCGACAGATAGATTATATCGAGTAATTGAAACAAGCAAAAAGGAATAGGAGGAACAATTCACCTTTTTTTCTATTTTGTATTTCTTTGTGAAAATAAATAGCGTATGCTGGGTATTCTCAGCTGTTATTTGGGTGATACGAATACGAATTAGCTGAACGAAAACATTAGAACACTTAAAATTTCGTAGTTTCACACATTCACTTGTAGACTCCTGTAGAGACTCTCCTGGCTTCTATGGTCTCCTGGCTTCTATGGACTCCTGGAGTCCAGGAATCCGCTTTTCCCCCCTTGAGGATTGTTTTAATACAGGTACAGAATCTATTCATCTTAATTGCCTCTGAACACTACATTTGTGTAAACATACGTATTCCACTTCTAATACATGCGTATGTATGTTTATGAACGCTTGGAATTTTAAGATTTTACTTTCTGAGGTCCTTTATCTTTGTTTGTTTGTATAGAGCTTTATTTAAATACCTCAAATAGAGGGGCTGGTAGTATCACCTAACAGGTGCTGACTACCTAACAGAAATTAGATTCGCATGCAGAAATTATAGAGAAGAAAAATATATAAATAATATAAAGAGCATTGACTAGTTTCCACATTAGAAATATTACAAGCAGACAGTAAAATATCATCTTTCTCAGTCAGAGTACAGCCAATCATATACAGAAAAATAAATTTTTGTTTTTTGAAGTACAACAAAAAGCGTACTCTACACACTAATACTATCAGAATTTTGAACAGACACATAAAGTATACATTAAGGGACGGTCCAGACAAACGAACACAGCCTATCAAAAAAGGTTTCATTATTATTGCGAATAAGTTTAACAATGCTACGATTTGGTCTGCCTTTCGGTAGACCAGGAATATGGGCTGAAAAATTCATTAACAACTTTCTTCTGTAAAAGCACATTTTCTAAAAACTCGGGTTCGTACGATTGTATACTCTCTAGTCTGGTAGCCAGACATTTTCTGAACTTGGCCTCGAGTCGGGGTAAAAGAAAAACATCATGGAGGTCCTGAGTTGAGCAGCGAAAAATACAAAAAATCATTCTTAGACATTTCCTATAAAACCCATTAATACGTTCACGCGATGTGTTCGAAAACAAATAGTAAACAGTCGATAATAGGTGGAGGTGGGGCCATATGTAAGTATTGAAGAATTTCATTTTTAGGTAGATGAAAAGAGGAAATTGTCGATGAATGTACTTCAAAATCGCCTAAGAGCGCCTAAGTTTTACAAGTTGGGCATTAATCATAGTCCCAAAAGCTAACTGGGCATCCAGAAAAAATCCTAGATATTTAAAACTTTTCGTCTGCGCTATCTGTGCACCTTGATACAAGATGCATAGCTTTGGACATTGGCCACCCTTGTGATAGATAACCACTTCCGTTTTTACAGTATTGACCGGTTGGTGCCAGTCCGCACAATACATACTCAGGGCGACCATGTCTTCGTTAGTGCGCTTTTCCATTTCCCTAACCTGATCACGCCGATTCAAATAGATGCATGGAGAGTACAAAAGCCCTAAATCATCAACGTACAGGTGACCATTGTCTGGCCTCCGAAAAGTCTGTACCAAATCAAAGTGATCGACAATATACACCCGAGGACCTAGGCAACTCCCTTGAGGAGCCCCTCTCGAAATGTCAATTTCGTCTGACAACTGCCCTTCGTAATCAATACATAAGGTTCTATCTTTAAAATAATTCACTATCCAAACTAGGTACGAGAATGGACATTCCAACCGATGCAATTTCAAAATCAGTCCTTGTTGCCACAAATTATCAAACGCCTGCAAGAAATCAACATAAACCACCGCACAGAACGTATTATTTTGCAGTGATTGAGTAATTTGTTCTACCAAGAAATTCACTCGAGAAGTTATCAACAAATGAGTTCTTGACGCCGATTGTTGTGCAGGTAAAATATTCATTTTATCCAGCCAATTATTAAACCTTAACAAAAACAGACGTTCATAAATTTTCCCAAATACCGGGAGCAATGAGATTGGTCGCAGTTCGTTCGTTGTTGGAGCTGAACTGTTCACTTTATTGAGGCAAATTGTTCTGGCTTTCTTCCAGCTACTACCCCAATATGCTTTAGAAAACAAGGAATTATACAACAGGGTGATATTAATCAAATACAGTTCAGGCAGAAGTTTTACCATTCTGTTAGAAACCGAATTTTTATTGTTCAAACTACGTACAACCTTTCTCAGGTCTTGGACTGTGAAGATCAGGTCGAAATTGGAACAAACGTACTCAACATCATCTGGATCAGCATCTCTCAATAAATTCCAGATATTCACTGCCGAACGATCAATTTCTTTAAACATATCCATCTCAGGCATTTTGAAACGGCTTCTAAAGTGGCTTGTCAGGCATGCAATAATTTCATCTGGTGTCTTGTAAACAGTGTTATTTTCTGACAAGGTCGTGAATTGAACTGACTGATTCTTATTGAGGACCTTAACTGTATTCCAGAAAGATGCTGGGTTTGGAGACGCTACATGTGAAATGAACTTTACCCAACTATTCCGCCTGAACGTTCTGAACTCCCCTTGGATCAACTTATTCCAAGACCTTAAACGTAAACGATCTTCTTCCAACCTTGAATGTCTGCATTTGTTTTGCAAATAATGCTTATGTTTCAACATAATTCGAAGTGCTTGTGGAATGGTTGGTCGCTTATTCCTAGCTTTGTGCCAAATGGTAACACGATGTTTCAATGCGTTTAGAAATTTTTGGAAATATTGAAACCACTCAAAAGCATCAGGATAATTAACCAGTCTAGCTTCCATAAGCTCCGGGTGCACAACCGACAAGACAAATTGATAAACATTCCAGTACGTCTTTGGGACAAATACCCAGTCATCCGTAACGTCAATTCCTAAGAACTCTGTGAACACGGGAAGATGATCACTACCTTTATACATGAAGGACCAACATTGGACGGCAGACATCGCTTCTGATGAAAAAACCAAGTCGATTGTAGTATCAGACCTCCACGAAGTCTTCTTACCATAGTTATGGGCCTCCAGCTCGTTCGCATCGAGCCACTTCGACAAAACATTTCCTTTACCGTTCACTTGGGGGCAACCCCAATCCGCGTGGTTAGAATTTAAATCACCAACAAAAATAAAATCTTTCGAACGACTTATTAAAGAAGACATGGTTGTAATAGGGAGAGGTTCGCGAGGAGGAGAATAAATAGAAGTTACTAAAAATGTTCTACTTTTTATTATAATTAAGACTGCTACTACATTAGGTATGTCAATGTCCAGAGGAACTGATTTTAATTTTTTGTCCTTTATCTGTGCTTACATATACATACAGAAAAATAACAGAGCTGTTAAACATTCGTAATCTACGATCAAATGTTGTATATGGACTCATTCTTATGCTGCCACTCTTCCCAAATCCCAAACATTCATAAACATATATACCCTATATGAATCACGGATACAGACTATATTGAGTTTAATTTCGAAGCTTAGCCGTTGAGATGCGTGTTTATTTATACTATGTTTTATGGAATTTACATAAATACATATAATTTGTATATTTACAATAGGAAGATTATATATAATGAATACAGTACGAATTCGTATTAGCATGTCTCTGAAAACGTGTATCTAACTTTCGTTTTCTTTCTTCAAGTTTACTCTCAGTTCATCCCAAAATGACTTCTCAATTTGTCCCATGAAGCTTTTTTTCTCAGTTCGTCCCATCAACACCTCTCTCAATTTGTTCCATATTAGTTTACACTTAATTAGCTTTAATATAATTGTCCGTACCTCTTGCGTACGGTGATAAATATGTATATATAATAAATAACAGCAATATCAACGAGGACTTTGGCGGTATCTGGTTTACATGTGTGTGCTGATTCATTCCGTAAAATTCTCACATCGTCTGTACATAATGATATTGTACTTGAACATGTTCGATCCTGACACCTCCATTGATTATTTGTTTTGTTTGCTCGTTTTTTGGTGTATTGATATCCATTATGATTGAAAACTGGTTTGTCTTTTTCAGTAGAC